GGGGGAGGGGGGGAAAGGGCATTTATTGAAACCTTAAAATCTGTACCCCCATAATATGCCAAAATAAAAAAAAAATTAGCACATGGAAAGGTGCCTCAACATCACTAGTCACTAGGGAAACGCAAATCGAAACTTCAGGGAGACAGCAGCTCCCACCCATTAGGATGAGCACTATCAGAAAAGCAGAAAACAAGTGGTGGTGCTTATGGGAAGTAATTGGAACCTTTGTGTGCTGTTGGTGGAGTAAAAAATGTGCTGCCACTGTAGAAGATGGTGCGGCAGTTCCTCAAAAAATTAAATAGAGAATTACAATATGATCCAGCAGTGCCACTTTTGTGTATATATCCAAAAGAGTTGAAAGCACAGTCTCTAAGAGACCCATGATCACAGCAGCAGCATTCACAAGAGCTAAAACATGAAAGCAACCCAAGTGACCATCCACAGATGAGAGGATAAACAAAATGTGCTCCCCCTCTCTCTCTATATATATATACACATACATACACACATACACACACACACACACAGTGGAATGTTGCCTTTAAAAGGAAGGAAATTCTCACACAGGATGCATCATGGATGAACCTTAAGGACATTATGCCAAGTGAAATAAGTAGTCACAACAGACAAATACTATATATGGTTCCACTTACATGAGGTACTCAGAGTAGTCAAAATCAGAAAGACAGAAAGAATGATGGTTGCCAGGAGCTGGTGGGAAGGGGGAATTGGGAATTACTGTTTAATGGGCATAGAGTTTCAGTTTTACAAGAGGAAAAGAGTTCTGGGGGTGGATGGTGGTAATGGTTATGCAACATTGTAAGTATATTTGATTTTACTGACCTGTGCACTTAGGAATGGTTAAGATGATAAATCTTATGTGCATTTCACCACAAAAAATTAGGGAAAAATTTCATCCAGATGTATCAGGGAAATGATATTATAGGGTTTATTTTTAATTTCTTTTTTGTATATACAATTCTTAAAAAGAAGAAAAACAAAGTAAGAAAAAGAAGGAAATGTGTTATTAAATGAAGTAATCTAAAAAAGAGAAACTCTCCTAATGAATTAGCTGGTGCCTTCTTGGTGTCTTCCAGCATGCGAGACTCATGGGGAATGCCCACCGAGCTCCCTAGCCACACAGGGCACTGCGCGGAACTGCTGTCACTTCCCTGTGTTAGCACTTGGTCAGAGAGAACCTCCCGCCACTAGCAAATTATTTCATCTTTCCAGAAAGAGGGGAGATGTTCCTTCAATGGCTTTTTTATCTTGGTGGAACTAACAAGAAGAGGGCTTGGTAAAACCACAGTGCATTTTGAGAAGAAAAATTAAAGTGGATGTGATAAGATAGCACCACCCAGTGTGTTGAGAACTCAGCCTGCACAGCACAGAGGTGGCCCTAAACTCACCAGGCTGTGCTACCACAGGGCACAAGGGAGGGGGTCAGGGTGAGGTTTCACGGTGGAAGGGACCTTCACCTTGCTTTTTGGTCAAGGTAAAGTAAGTCAAGCTCATTTTATGTTTTAAAACATAAAACAGTGTTTTAAAAAGGAGGACACCCCTACCAAGGAGTTATAGACATGGGATTGAAATGACATTTAATCAACTATAAATGACATATAAAACTTTCTTTATATAACATGTGGGTTTTAGAGTCAGAATGGCTAGCTCAGAATCCTGCCTCTGTCACTGATTGGCTTCAGGAACTTGGGCAAGTGATTTCATCTCACCAGGTCTCTGATTTCTGAGTTGTGAAATGGGTATGATATTATCCCTTACCTCATAAGGTTGGTGAGATTATTGAATGAGATAGTTTGCTTTGCTAAAAATATTTACTACAGTTCCTGGAACATAGTAAGTGTTCAGTAAGTGTTGGCTGTGGCAGGGGTTTCTCCCCAGTCTCACACACCCTGGAAGGCAGGTGCACGACTCCCCTCTCAGAGAAGACACAGCAACAGAGAGGGTGCCACAGCTCACCAACACCACACAGCTGAGAAGGGGCGCCACCAGAGTTCCCCCACAAGACTCCTGGCTCCTGAGTTTAAGATGTTTTCCACTAGAGTATAGCTGATAAAGTAAACACCAGCCAATTGTTTAACATTTATTTTAAAATGATACAGTGTAACAGCATTTATACAACATTCTTACTTTCTTCATTGCAATAATCACCTTTTACTGCAATAAGTCAAAGAGGAAGGATATTCCATCTTTAGAACCATGGAATTTAGAGGGGCTTCATAGTTTGAGGATACTTAGGTCTCATGATGACATGAAGAAATTAATCCATGAACTATACATATGCTAGTATTCATATTTGTTATTTTTCTCTTATTGGTAGAACCCAATCAATATCTCTGGAAATGAATCACTCCCAATCAAAAGGTGACAGTGAGTCCATATTATTATTTTCTTGTTCTGGGCACTAGATGTCACACTAAGTAAAGTTTTTAGAAGTTACTCTTCAGAGTAGGCTGTGGCATAGTGTCTATGAAAAATTACAGCTTATACATAAATATAAAGCCTAGCTTTATATTTCTAGTAGAATGCAGTGAAGAGATACTTTGGCTAACAAAAAAAATCAGAAAAAGAATTATTAATCAGAAAATATAGTTGGAGTAGCAGCTTCTTTTCATGCCTGGTAAACAGACACATCCTATTTGTATGCACCTAAAAATGGTATTTCCTTCCAGAAACAAGGTGGTTTTTCTAGAGGCAGCTATACATACATATTCATGATCATTTGTGTTCTGAGATGGTGAGAAGCTGTTTTTCCCTTCAAAAAGGACCAGACATGGCCCTAACCTGCAAGGGGTGAATGAGGTGAAGGAGAAGATAATGAATATGAGGTTCATTGGACCCTAAAATGATCTGGGGGGGGGGATGTGTAATCATCTTTCTCGCATAACTTAAGCAAAGACGATGAAGCAGACAGTGCCTCCCGGCCTCCTCAGGCTCATTTGTCCTTGATTCGGCTCTCAGAAATCTCGATGAGAGTCATGGGTTGAGATTTGGATGTGCATCATTTCCTTTTGGAAAACATGTTTTTGGGTTTTTTTTAATGGCAGGAAGTATAAACTCAGTATGTAAAAGAGTTAAATGATTTTAAATATGTTACTGAAACTTTAGTTAAGTTTCCATTGAAATGCTTGGAAGCTAGAGAGAATTCAAGTCTTAATTTTAGCAGTTATAGAACATCTTCAGTTTTTCAAGTAACTGCTTAATGGGTTTGGATTGTGTCTGATGATCATGAATAGAGAGTTATTTCTATATGTGATTAAAGTTGTAGATAGGGTAAGAAATGTTTCTTAAGTTTCAGGGTTTCCTGGGTTGTGTATAATGACAGGTGGTTTCCATTGAATATAATTAGTCCTATATTTGGTAAATATCAGTGTCTTGTGTATGTTAAGACCCTCTAATAAATAAGGTTACAGTTGATAAAATACTCTTTGGGTTTGGGATTCATCTATGTTTTCCTCTTTCTTGTTCAAGAGATGAACAACTAATTTGTCATTTTAACAGTGCCTTCTAAGACTAGGTGGTTCTATTTAGCTCTCAAGTCCTACTGTGACTTAGGACTTACTAATACTCCTGCTGCCTTGTGTTTTCACAACCTGAGGTTGCCTGGGTCCCTAGAGAAAGAAGTCTTCCTAAGGGGAATGTGATGTGACGATGGCAGCCTGTGCTGCTTCTCCTTCAAGAACTCAGAGAGCCACTTAGGACCATCAGTAGGCTATTAATGCCTTCACTGGGATTGGCAACTGAGAAAAGCTATAGCTCATCATAAGGGTCTCAAAGGGGGAAGAATCCCTCCAGAATAAAAGGTAGACAAGGCTATTTCCCTATTAGGTTAAGGGTTGGGGTTTTTCTGTGTGGGTAGTAAGGTCAACTCTGTATTCACCCCAATAGTTATTGAATACTCTGCTGGGCCCTGGAGAGTATAGCTACCATGCCTGCTCAGGTGTAGTAAAACAGCCCTTCAGCCTGGCCAACTACTATGGAAGCTTGTTTGGGCCATTACTGCTTGAGACAACTATCAGAGCTACTGAGTGACCTTCCTAGTTTCCTCACTGACTTGCCTTTTGAGTTGGGGACGTGGGCTCCAGACCCTTTGCTCTCCATGCCCAAAAGAACGCCTAACCCTTGGAAGGAGTGTGTTGAGGCTCAGCTGATTTCACTTCAACCAGTATTAACTGAGCACCCGTGATGTGCTAGGCCTGCAAGGAATGAAAAAGTGGATGAGGACGATGTGCCATGAGGAACTCTCAAAGGAGTAAAGAGAATGAGACAGGTCCACTATGCAAAGACTGTATCTTAAGCTTGGAGCCCCAGGTAGATGGCTAGGTGGCTGAGAAGCAAAAAGAGAACAGGAGAACATCTGGGAGGACTTTACGTACATTTATCTCATTTGCTTCTCACAGTAACCCCATGAGGAAACCAAATCACAGGGAGGCTAGGTAACTTCTTCAAGGTCACTCACCCAGCCACTGGCGAAGCTGTGCTCATATCGGAACCAACGTCTGAGGGAGCAGGGATTCCTCTGCTCTTGACCACTTTCTTTCAATAAAGATGTACATCTACAGCTTTTATAAAAATTAGCTAGAGAGGCTGGTCACAGTGGCTCACACCTGTAATCCTAGCACTCTGGGAGGCCAAGGCGGGTGGATCGCTCAAGGTCAGGAGTTCGACCAGCCTGAGCAAGAGCAAGACCCTGTCTCTACTAAAAATAGAAAGAAATTAATTGGCCAACTAAAAATATATAGAAAAAATTAGCTGGGCATGGTGGCCTGTGCCTGTAGTCCCAGCTACTCAGGATCCTCAAGGAGGATCGCTTGAGCCCAGGAGTTCGAGGTTGCTGTGAGCGAGGCTGACACCACAGCACTCTAGCCCGGGCAACAGAGTGAGACTCTGTCTCAAAAATAACTAAATAAATAAACAGCTAGAGAATCTGCAGACCATAGATTTCTAACTTATCCACGAACCATATTTTTATTTCCCAACAGGTCATGGATTGACAGCAGTCAGGGAAAAAGCAGGAGTCACCCTACAGATTCATAGTGTAAATTCTGGATCTTCTGAAGGGGCCCAAACTGATACTGAAAACAAAGTCCCTGAAAGTGAGTGGTGTGTTTACTTTGGGTGTTCTTGGACTTGGGCTGTATTATACCATGTGCACGATTAAAAGGTTTCCAAGTTAAGATCTGCAAAATGAACTCTAAAAGGATTTTTTCCTCTTTAGTAACAGATGTGACTTCAGATCAGGGCCCTGCAGAAAGCCCACCCACTTCACCCGCTTCCCGGGGCATGCTGTCCGCCCTCACCCATGTGGTTCAAAACACAGTAAGTCGTTGGCCTCTTCCTCTCTTTCCCCGTGTATTTCCCAGGGCCTTCTTTTGATATTTCTATTTACCAATGACCTAGACATATCAGAGAAAAGATGGCCTTGCTCATAACTTTGGATTATGGGCTTTTTAATGCTTCTGCTGCACAGTAGGAATAACCTTGTATCCAGAATAATAAAGGGGAAATGAAGTATGTTTTAGGTTTAAAAGAAAGGATCTATTTAATGGAAAATTTTGCAGTCTGATTTAACAGTGTCCATTCTAACTGCAGCAAGGTCAGCCTCTGGTTGCAGGGAGAGAGAACTCTTTGTCAGAGCTGGGACAACTGTTTTTCCTAAATGGTCTGTTTCTCTTAACTCTAAGAGAAGTCATAACCTTTATGAGAAGTCATAAAACCATTCAAATAAAAAAGTATGAGTAATGAGTCAGGAATAATAGCTCGGATATGTTTCTAAAGTGTTTCCAGACATAGATCAACATTCTTCCTCCATCCCTACCTCCTAATTCCCACTCTCCCCCAATTCGCATCACCCTAAGTTTATCCCCCCAGATACCTGCCTGCCTCTAAAAAGAAGCTCGATACTGACAACAGCACATTGATGGCAATGAAAAAAGTAAAAAGCACCTCAACTGAGAAGAGGCAGCTTGCCGGTGCTCGGGATCAGGAGGAAAAGGTTGATTTTCTGCTACATAGAACCAACCAACTAGTTTTTATAAAATATTGTTTGTGTCCCATTTTTCATTCATTCATTCATTTATGAAAACACAAACATGATTAGCCCTCACTGTGCTCCAGGAGCTATGCAAACAAGAGGGCACAATATCCTGGGAGACTGAGGCAGCTCGGCAGATAAACGCAGTGAACCATGGAAAGAAGTGAGGGCTATGGACAGACTTTGGGGGCAGGCGTGGCAGAAGTACAGAAAATGACTGTTCCACTCCCTGCTGCTGGAGGACCTCGGGGCTGGGTAGAGTGAAGGAGCAGCAGCAAGTATGTTTGGGAGTTGAGTAGCAATCCCAGTATGGCGCCCCGTGGAAGAATTTGTAGAAATGAGGATGGGGAAGCTCTGTCAGTGTCTCCGGCATACGACACGAATTCACAGCCTCGCTGTATGGCATGGGGCGCTCTGCGTTTGCCTTTGGCATCCTCATGTTCCTCTCTGTACTTTCTCCAGCCTACATGACCCCCTTTTCCCAAGTGCCAGACACCCAGCCCTCAGGTCTGCCTTACTGAAAGTCCCCATTTTACTTCCTACTAAAGTGACCCTCACAGGATCTTAGTAGACAATACGTCAAATTACACAGAAGTGTGAATTACTGATACCCCTCATCCTCCCAAAGTACATTCATTTGAAAATCCATTTTACAGTGTGATTATTGATCATCTCCCAAATCTGAAAACAAAGTCTAAATGCCCAAGATGGAAGCGACTAATAAAGTATATTAATTCAATGAAATTGAATATTGCTATTTAATAATTATGAAGACTGGAAATGCATATAGTTAATAATATAATAAAATATAATTTATATCTTTTTATGTATGGTGGGAAAAACACAGATGTATGCATATTGTAATTACAGTTATACAGTTGAGATGCATATACAGAAGAGGTTGCAAAGAAATGTTCACAGTTTTGTTCACTTGAATAGTTTATGTGAGTAGGTCTTGGTTATCTTAATTTTTTTGTCAAGAAGACAATGACTGACAGGGATTTGTAGGGAGATAACTATATAAGAGAACAGTTTCTAAAGCCAGAAGTACGTGGAAATCAACCTGTCTTATTTCATGAATGTACTAATTAATGGCAGTTATTGCTAGTTTCCGTAAGCATGCCAGAGCCGTCTGAAACAGCCTGAAGGGCGTATGCTCTGAGGCCTTAAAGAATTCCCTAAATTAGCAAGAGTATTTGACATTTTAATAGACTGCTCCAAATAATTCTGTTACTTGGTTTAAAATTTTTCAAACAAAAACTGGGTCACCTGTTAATTTTATGTCTCAAATACACATCTGTTCATACATAGAGTCAGTAAACTTCACCCCTAATGTGTTTTTCTAAGCATCATTTTTAATAACATTGTATGTCCTACAAATTATATAACATATGCTTTTCCAAAGGAAAAAAGTAGGGTGAAATGGATGATAAATCTCCTGATGAGAAAAAATTGTGACTTTATATTGATTTTAATATTTGAAGATAGTTAGTGTCAGTTACCTAGGAGTTGTTGACTGCTGTGAAACAGCAAAACCTGAAAATCTAGTCTCATGAAGTTATCTCCTCTGCAGGGCAAAAGCGTCTTAACTGGAGGTCTTGATGCTTTGGAGTTCATCGGCAAGAAAACCATGAATGTCCTTGCAGAAAGCGACCCAGGCTTTAAACGGACCAAGACCCTCATGGAGAGAACCGTTTCCTTGTCTCAGGTTGGACTGTATACTGTTGCGATATTCTCTTCCAGTCAATAAAGTAAATAAATTTTAGTTTATCATTTTGAATAGAGGATTTAAAGCACATAATCCAAATTCAAATGGCGCCAAAGAGTAGAGAATGAAAATTGAATTTCTGATACACCTCTTTCTACAGCCACTTAATTCCTCAAAGGAGACAACCACTGTTGTCTTATGGATTATATCAGAGATGTCATCTAGATATGGATATATGAAAAGAGATACAGGTATTCTTATACGTATGGATATGTAAATGCATATATAGCTATTCATACATACATATATACATATCTATGCATGTGTATATGTATGCACATATATACACACATACTATTTCAACCAAATGGTAGCATACTAATCATACTCTTTTATACTTTGCTTTATTCACTTAATAATTTCTTGAAGATTGTTCCATATATGCCATTGTATGTATCCCAGCTCTACCATTTATTAGCTGCATGACCTTGGACATGTTACTTAGTTCCTCTGTGCCTCAGTTTACTCATCTGTACACTGGGCATAACAACAGTACTTACTAATAACTTTGTTATGAGGATTAAATGAGTTAGAATAGAACCCAGCTCATACTTAGCACTCAGAAATGTTAGTTGTTGCTGTGGTCATTGTTATGTATCAATGTATGAGGTGGTTAGCTGCATGCCATGTATCTAAGAAAAAAAGAAATACAATATATGAGGTGGAAATGGTATCTCACTCAAATTTTGATTTCTATTTTTCTCTATATGTGCAAGGATGGGCTTCTCCTCTCACACCTTCAGCATGGCACTAAAGTTTTCCAGCCCTCCTTAAGAAACATAATAATCTCTTTGCTTACTCACGATAGTCAAGAAAATTAAAAATAATATTTATCTTATTTTCTAAATATAAAGCTCTAACATTGAACTTGCTCTTCAAGATAGCACATGCCAGCTTACCCCACAATGCAGGCATGCCCCGTCCCTTCCTCTGTGAGAGCCTAAGACACCAGGTCTCTGTGCCTTGCTAAAATCAGGAGCAGCTGATGCAGCAGCAGATTTTGTAGACGTCACAGGCAGGACCCGAATATCTTCCATGGCTCGGCACTGGGAGCCCACGAAGGTGGTCTTCACAGAGAGCTCTCACTGAGAGCATGTGCACGGCAGCTCCCCGAAAGCTCCAGCTTCAGGCTGTTTCTTCTCATCTCTTCTAAAATAACCCAGCTATGACCACTCTGATGTTATGGCCCAGGTAGGGACTTTGCAGGATCATCCAGACCATCACCCTCCTCTTCCTTAAAAAAGAAAACAGATTAGTATTAATGAGGTAATTAACACCACATGTTGTAAAAGAACAACCCCCCCCCCAATATCTATGAGGCTTAAGACAAAAAGTTTACTTTTTGTGCCCACAATGTACAGCATGAATATACCTACTCACATGGGAGGCTCTGTCCCAGGGGGCTCTCATGGGTAGCTCTCTTCCAAGCCCACATCTTCTGGCTTCTTTGTCTTGAAATCCTTAATTCCACCCTCACAGAGGAGAGAGCAAGATGTGGAGGGCCACCTGGGACAATTGAGGACCAGCCCTGGAAGTATACACATCACTTTCACCCTCATGCCCTTGGCCAAAACTTGTCACATGGTCCACCTAACTCACTTCAGGGGGCTGAGAAATACTGGTTAGCCATGTATCTAGGAGCAAAAGAGTATTAGATGAGCATGTGGGAATATTTTTGCCACCAGATTTCATATATATATACTATATATATATATATATAATCTTATTCTAGATAAGATGGTGATGAGGTGAGAGAAATGAGACTGAGTCCACAAACTAGCTCACTCCATGGCCTGTTTGGCTGTAACATGAAGAATTGGACTAGGTTAGTTTCCCAGATTACTGTAATTTTTGTGCTCCATCACAGTTTTTATCACATCTGCATGTAATCTATTGTTAAAAAGTAGCCTTGTCGTAGAAATGTGAGTAGCAATGCTCATAGCAATGTATCACCCAGGAACCACACAAGCCATCAGCAATGTGTGTTCTAAGCACACATCTGAGCCATTATGGCAGGAAGTGTGGCGCAGAACATTCTGGGGCACCCCTAAGCTTTGCAGCTGCAATTCACATGGCTTAAGCCAGATCACCACAACACTGCTGAGTCCAGGCTCTTTCCAAACAGTAACACTTTGGCCATCCAGCCAGCCATTCCACAGGTGCACCCTGGGGGTCCACTCTGTGCCAGGCACTGTTCTAAGCACTTGAGATACATCAGTAGCCAAAATGGATAAAATATCCCTGCCCTTAAGGAGCTTTTGATCTAGCAAGGAGAGACAAACAAACATTATTTAGTGTTATAGAAGATGATGGGTGCTGTTGGAAAAAAAGACAAAGTAGAGCAGGAAGAGGCAGTCAGGAGGTGGGGTGAGGGGCAGATTAAGTATTAAGTAGGACGATGACAGGTCTTATGCAGATGATGACATTAGAGCAAATACTCAAAGGAGAGGGGGTTGACCATGCAGAAACCTGAGAGATGCTCATTCCAGGCAAAGGGAGAAGCTCATGCAAAGGCCTTGAGACAGGACTGTGTGTTTGGTCTGAACAAGGGACAGAACGTGCTCCACGGTGGGAGGAGGAGGGAGCCAGGGTGAGACTGTTGAAGAAACCAGTTACGATATGTCTCAGCCTAGGTCTTCCCAGGAGCAGACACCAACATGGGCTTAAATGTGCAAGAATTTCATTAGGAGAATTGCCTATGTGAGAGAAGATGGGGAGGGAGCCCAGGAAGGCTGGGAGAACCATTAGACCAAGATGCAGGTCCCTCCCCAGTGAAGGAGAGAGGGAGAGAGGATTGGGTGGCATGTCCCAGACTGGCATGCAGCCTGAGGAAGGCTGGGGAAGCCATGGAGAGTCCTGGAGTAAAGAATGCTGACAAAGGAGTTCCCCTTCTCCTAGGAACTGTCTGCCTCGGTGTCTCTACTGCACCAGTGATTGGTAGGGAGGAGTCCTGGCAGACTCAGGGATGGATTTCAAGCCCAGCCACCAGGCCCTTGATCACATATGCTCCTGGGAATAGGAGGGTGGTCTGCAGGGTGCACCCCCACACACTCCCCAGGGCAATTGCAATTGCCAGTATCTAAACAAGAGATAATGGTGGCTCACAGCAGCATAGAGGGCTTGCAGGTAGTGATGAACGCCTGATTCCGGGTATAATTTGAAGATAGGTCCAGGTTTTCCAATGGAGTGAAAGTGAGCTATGAGATAAGAGGAGTCATCAAAGATGGCTCTTAAGTCTTTTGAGTAACTAGAAGGATGAAGCTCTCATCCACTGAGATAGGGAAGTCTATTATATTTTTCCTTTATACACTAAAGAAATGCATAACTGTACAAAACCCCTAAATTGCACACATGCACTACCTCAATTGCTCATGCATGCTGTCATGGTGGTACAGGGAACACTCTTTGAACAACACGGGGACAGGTGGTGCTGGAATCCCACCAGTGTACATCTCCGTGGCTTTCCTCTCTCAGGAATTCTTCCAGGCCAGAATCACACTCACTGCTGTTGAAACCCATCTCCTTTTCTCTCCAGAGGGAAAATAGATCCAGCATCCTTTGTCAAGCTGTTTATCCTGTAGACAGTTTTAATTTCACTCCCTGTCCTTGAGTGAATCCTGCTCATTCCAAAGTGACGTTTTCCTTTTCCCTTCCATTCTACCCCTTCTTCCCTCTACCCCAAAGTACAGATTTGGAGATAGAAGTCAGTGTGGAGAAAGGAAGCAATTTCATTGTCACTTTGTTAGTTTATTTTACCACCACCAAGCCCTGAGATCAGTGGGGTACTTGGGTTTTATTGTAAATGTTAAAAAATTCACAGTGATGACTTTATTGGGTTGTTTGGAACACTCTAAAATTAAGAGCCTGTACTAATTTAGTCTTCAAGACAGACAGGAAAGAGAAATCTCTCTGAAGCCCAGTGGGTTATTGGCTAGCATCCTAAAGAACCCAAAAGGAGAATGAGGCTGATTGTTTTATTGCTACACAATAAAATAAGAGTCTGTTCTTCAGTGTTCTTCCTCTTGTGACCTTGTAGTGGTGGCCAGTATACTTATGGTGCTCTCTACAGAAATTAAAGAACTCTATAAAGTTAATGCCCTAGTGAACTTAATGAGAAATCAAATAAAAGATGCTTAGAATCAAAGAAAGTAAGTGCAGAAAATTGGGAGTGACTGATAAACTCAAGTTAAAGTTCATTTTGTTGTCTTTTTATTTAATCACCAAAAAATAATGAGAGAAAAATTATTAATGTGGATAGGAACTTGGATAACCATTAATACTTTTGGAAACCAGGCTAAGAATCAATAAGCATATAGTCTTAATTGTATTAAGTATCTGATAACAAATATATTATGAGTTTATATTTTTTTCATTGAAGATATTCAATAACCACACACACAAAATTTCAAAAATAATGGAACTCAGATCAAATCAGACCAGCTTATTTCTGCTTTGAAGTCTGCCTAGGTGCAAAAGTTGCAATTAATCCTATCATAAGAGATTAAACTTTCCCAGTGTATGTAAAACTAGGTCATGATAGAAAATTTAGGCATTTTAGAAACTAAGAAAGTCAGTCACACACGTGGGGACACTGCAGTGGAAACCACTGTTCAGCTTGTGGTGTGCTTCTTACCAACTTGTTCCCAGGCATAGAATTTTTGCTTTGTTTTGCCTTGCACATTATGAACATGTAAAATTCAAAGTGGAGCATTATGTAAAAATGATCAATAGCATCAATCAAAAAATCATTTTTTAGAAATTCCAAGCTGACCAAAATCCACCCGTCTTAAATGCAAAGTCCGCCTTCCCAGTCTCCCCATCCAGTGCACAGACAGTGTGTGTTTCTGCAGATGTTAAGGGAAGCCAAAGAGAAAGAAAAGCAGAGACGGGCACAGCAGCTCACGGCGGAGAGAACTGCGCACTACGGGATGCTGTTTGATGAATACCAAGGTTTGTCACACCTGGAAGCCCTGGAAATTCTGTCCAATGAAAGCGAAAGCAAGGTATGTCTGCCCTGCTCATTTGAAATAGCAAGTTCTATAATGTGTTTTCTTAAACATGAAAGAAGCTAGAAAAGTCTGCCATTAAAATATCTCATTTTTAGAGCCTCATTATTGTTGTGCTGAGGTCACAGATACACTCCAGCCTGATTCCCCTCAGGCCCCATGTAATTTCCTCTCTGGCGTGTGCCAGCCTGTTACCCCACCCCAGCCCCAAGAAAGCCAGCACCGGAAGAGTCACCACTACCCTGCATTGTGGCTGCTCAAAGCCACGGCCCTCTGCCTCTACTCGGGGACGTGCCACTCAGATCAGAGATGCCCGAGAGCCCACGTCTTCGTTCTGCCCAATAACAACAAAGCACCTGATACTGCTTTCAGACTGCAAGATTTTAACGTATTTTGTTTTATGGTCTATATAGTTATTTATTTGGCCTTCTGTTAGAATGCCTGGGCCACAAAGGGCAGAGTTATGTTGCTGAGGGTTAGAGTTCTGTTGGAGAATTCTCCCATGCAGAAGCCTGGGAGACCCAGCCTCGCTCATTCACACCCCCCACTGCAACCTCCAGAAAACAAAAGATGAATAGTGGAAGCCAGCAAGGTTTGGCGATTTTTTTTCCTCAAAGGATCTATAGTGAGGTGTGTGTGTGTGTGTGTGTGTGTGTGTGTGTGTGTGTGTGTGTGTGTGTGATTATTTAGTGAGCACTTATGTGGCACTTATTTAGTCACTATTCTAAACACTACAAAACTATAAACTCAATTTTTTATATGGCTCTTTCATGTGCCTGTCAGGCTGACTGCACTCTGGGGTCAGTTTCCAGTGGAGGCCACAGAGCAGCACCCTCTGGACCTCCTGTGACGGACAGGCCTTGGGCCATTCTGGTGACGTTTCCTGCAGAGGCCAGGTCCTCAGACAGGGGCTGGATTTGGAAGTGAGCCTCCCACTGGAGTCTCTGTTGGCTCTCCCTGGGCTCTGAGGAGGCCGAGCAGCTCCTGGAGCCCAAGCAGGGAAGACGCCTCTGCACAGAGCGCCCGCAAGCCCCGGACAGGGTGGAGATGCCCTCCCTACCCATGGGACCTAGTCACGTGCCGCTCTCTGCATGTGTTTCCTTTTTTGTGAACCATGAGCCTTCAGTGAGAATCTTGTGGTTAAAACTGTTCAAAGATAATTTTCAAAAAAAAAGAAAAACATGTGATTCTCATACAGATACAAAATGACCACGTGTAAAGAATGAGGAAACCAGGCAGATATTATAGCCGGTCCAAAGGAAAAGCCAAAGAAACGGCAGAGTATTTGGAGTGAAGGGATGCTGGAACGAATGTGCGAGGAGCCTGCTTTCCCACCGCAGGGGAGGCTGCCCTCTTGCCCAGAATTCAGACACATGTCCACAGGCAGTGACTCTGCACTGCTACCAGCTGTCTGCGACGTGGAGCTTCATGTTGCTCCCTAGAGTCAGAATCTGATAGTCCAGTGGCACGTGCTCCAGACAGTGCAGTTCTCCACTGAAGCACACGTTCTCCCTACAAAAGTGAGGTCTAGGGTCAGACATTATATTATTAAACACCATGCAGTAGCTGTATGATTTTGGACTCCTCTTCCCTCAATATCCTCATCTATGAAATAGGAATAATAATGAAACCTACCTCACAGGATTATTAACAGAATCAAATGAGATAATCTGGTGAAGCTAGTAGCAGCATGCCTAAAACATAATAAGCACTTGACAATGTATATATAATGTTGATGACATTTTATTTTTATGTACATTCTTATGTTATATGTATTTGTTATTGTTATTAAAAATATCACAGAGGCCAAGCACAGTGGCTCACACCTATGCTCCCAATACTTTGGAAGGCCAAGGCAGAAGGATCACTGGAGGCCAGGAATTCAAGACCAACCTGAGCAGCATAGCGAGACACTGTCTACAAAAATTTAAAAATATATGTATAACAAGGGAGCATGGCCCCTGTAAAAACATCACAAACTTTCATGGTGGAGAGAGATTCCATTCTGACTGTTTCTGTCACAGGCCTCAGCTCTGGGACAGCCCTTTGGAAAAGAGCCCAAAGGCCCTGTGTTGCTGGGAAGGAGTTCGGTCCGGGGGCATTTCCTTCTGTTTACACGCTGCTTCCTAGCTCGTAGCTTTCTTTCTCTAGCCTGGAGGTTTTCGTGGTGTTCATAGTGAGGGATGTAGAATGTTTTTCTTGACTGGGTGCTATAATAAACAGTCCTGCAAACGTGTGGGTACAAAACAGTAGAATTTAGTCTTCACTCCTGTAACAGTCCGAGGTAGGAGCACCTGGTCAGCGGGCGGCTCCCTGCATGTATGGGCTGAGGGACCAGGCTCTGCCCATCCTGGGCTGCACTAGGCCCCCTGTGTGCACAGGCTGCCAGCAGGAACACGCATGGAGACCTAGACTGGGTTGCCAGATTTAAAAAATAAAAATACAGCCTGACTAGTTAAATTTTAACTTTAGATAAACCGTGAATCTTTTTTTGTTATATATATATCCCATGTAGTATTTAGGACATATACTTATGCTGAGAAAATATTCATTATTTATCTAAAATTCAAGTTCAGCTAGGCATCCTATGTTTTATCTGGCAACCCTACAAACACCAAATATTTAAAAGTTAAAGAACTTTTGAAACAAGCTGTTAAAGAAAATATATTTTATCCTCCTGCCTTGACAAACATCCTTTCCTAATGACCTGGAAGGCCACCCTCCCATTCAGAACTCTCAGACTCCTCAAATTTCCACACGTCCTGCAGCCTGTCCCTTCCTGTGTCTCCAGCTCTGTCTCTCCCCTCAGGGAATCGTGTGTGTGTGTGTGAGGATGCCCTAGTTCAAGCTCCACCCATACCCCCTGCAGACAGCCACTCTTGGCTGCCCCCTGGGCCTAGTGGGACTCAGGCCAGTGGCGTGGCCCCCGATAAGGAGCACAGCATGGGGAAGAGGCCCACACAGGCCATGAAAGAGAAGCTGCAGTGACCTGGAGCGTATTCTGGAACAGGAGTGCAGGCTCTGGTGGCACATCCCTTGGGCCTTGTGGGCTCTCCTGTGTCCAGGTCTAAAGGCAGTATTGGATCTCACCGTCCTCTAGGGCATTATCATCTTCTGAATTGCATCAGCGTCCTAAAGACAGTGTAGAGGGACACTCCCATTTTTTAAAATCTTGGCCCAGAAATGATGCACATCATCCCTGCTGACATTCCATTGGCTAAAACTCAGACACTGTAATGGAAATATAAGGAACTATAATTATTACCATTTGACTAGATTGATTCTAGGATGGGAATCAATCAGGCATGGCAAGTGGTGTTTAATAAAAGTTATAGAAACATCATTTTCATTGCTGTTATACTCACTAGTTAAATAGTAAACAAAATCTTCGAAATGACAAAACACACCACCTTTCAAGGAAAAGATTTATAAGGCAGACTGTCTACCCTTGTGTCCAGAACAATACTTGGTACAGTGCCAAGCATATAGTCACCATTCCACCAATATTTATTAAGGAATGTGTGATTATTTATTATTGGATTGAACTAAAGATTCAGTGCATATCACCTTGGCATAATGGAATGAACTAAGAGGAAGCAACAGATGCTGTACTATTAGTAGAAAGATGCTAACAAGAGTCCTAGGATAAAAAGGACCCTTCCCAGGAGGTGCCCAAAACATAAAACCCCAGTGTGTTCCCTCCAGGAAGATTGCCATCGCCACAAGAACACAGGAAACCAAAATGTCCCACATGCCTACATACGTTTTCACTAAGCATAGTATTCAGACACATTTACAATCATTGTTAGAAAACCAGGGTTCAGAAAGCCCGCGTGAAGCGCAGGCATGTGATGTGCACGTATCTGGGACCTGGCAGCCAGACGTGCCTGGTGAGCTGGAACGAAGCCTTTAAGAAGGTCAGGGCAGAAAGGAGTGTCCGGCGCCATCATGCAGGGCGCGTTCGCTGAGCTCTACGCTATCGGGTTTTGTATTGATGACTTCCTGCCGAGCCGCCTCCTATAGCCTCTGCCCCGGTGCACTATGGAGACACACATTAGCAGCTTTTAGGGAAATGGCACTCTGGCATCGCATGCCCTAACTCTCTCACTCACCCCCATGTGCAAGGTGCGTGTCTACTGCCATGATGAATATTCAAACATTTTCCAGAGAGGACTGCAGCTCCTCTGCTGGCTCTGCCTCCAGAGCAAGTGTCCAACCTGTAGAATGAAAAAATAAAAACCTTACTACTTGGCAGTCATACTTCACTTTTTATATGGTGCTCCATGCTGTTTGACCATTTTAAAAATTCAGATTAATCTTCAGAAGGTGACTGGCCCTTTGTACAAATAATTTTTAAGTGGGTACAGAGGACAGTTTTAAAAGAAGGGTTCTGAAGACAATGAACAGGGATGACATCAGCCCAAGTGCCACCTCCTCTGTGAAGACCTCCCTGCACCACCACCACCACCACCACCCCGTGCCCCCAGCACCCCAGGTGCTCTCCATTCACATCCGTCGTGGCCATTCCTGGTGGACACGCCGCCTCCTTCAACCTGCAACATCTCAGAGAAGGAAGGCGTGTGTGTGCATTCCTGTAGCCCTGGCACAGTAACCGACATCTAGCAAGTGTGTGTGTGGATATATATAACCCTTATTTATGTGTTTACATGTGCATACATATATACACACATATGTAAATATTGAGCATCACTCTAAGTATTTTAAGTACATTATTTTACATAACCCTCAAAACAAGCTTACAAGGTAGATGTGGTTAATCCCCATTTTAAAGCAAGGAAGAAAGGCTTCATGAATTATCCAAGGTTGTAGTAAGTGAGGAGCTGATATTTAACCCCAGGATTGATGCCAAAGTGTGATAGAGAAGCTACCACCACCATTTATTTAGCATCTATTGTGTACACTAGTGTAGTGTATTTCATATTCTTTATCTCACTTACCACACAAAGGATCTTGCTTGAAAAATAAGAAAACTGAGGCCCAGAGGGCTCATGTGTAACTTGTGTAACTGTGTAACTTGTCCAAAGTTGCACAGTTAATACATAGTAAAGCCAACAGCCTTACCTCCCACATGTGAATCACCTCTGTCCTAGGGAAAACCGGGGACAGCTGTATGTAAACATTAATGAGAAGAAAAGATGACAGTTATGCTGACCTATTTCTTTTTTCAGGTTCAGTCATTTTTAGCATCACTTGATGGAGAGAAGCTGGAACTCTTAAAAAATGACCTAATTTCCATTAAAGACATCTTTGCAGCCAAAGAATTAGAGACTCAAGAGAATCAAGAAGGTAAAGGAAAATAAGTTAAATAAGACGATCTGTTGGCACAATCCTTATGAAACTGCTGTTCACAAACACAGCCCTTTGAGCAGGGTGGAATTATTTCATTCAAGCATCCCCCACCCCATGCTCTTAAAACACCCTTGGCATCTGCTCATGTTACATTGATTTAAATCCTCTTTTTCGCTGGGTGGGAACGCCTGTTATTTCTCTGATGTTCTGCACAATCCTTGACATATCCCAGGCACACAATGAAGGTGTATGGTCAAATGAGCAAAAAGTGCAGTGTGCTAAACAGGGCCCTGATGACTAGAGTTTATGCTCCGCTTCTAATTTTATCTGCTTCTTTAATATGATTCATGTTAATGGTGGGAAAATCTTTCAATGATTTCTTTGCATATTTTTCTTATTTTAATGTATATGTCTAGGGCTCAGAGTGTATCAGTAAGTGTCCTACACTCCACCGAAGAACAGTCCTGATAAAGGCTGTACCACGTTTCTGCAGTGCAGCGGGGTGTGGCGTGCGGGCGGCCACCCCTGGAGCGCCCAGGCCTGACTTCGGGCAGTCTCCTAGCCAGACGGTGGCGTGCCCCAAGGAGACTAGATCCTGCTTTGTGAGAAGCAACGCTTCCTTCAGAGGGGAAAAATTATTCTCAAAGTTGAGCGTGCTTAATGATTAATTTAGGTTTTCCATTAGAGAGCAGAGTGATTTCTACCGATAGCATAGCCAAGCGCCTGCCACAGCTGTTTCCTGTAGATCATGGGGAAGGGCCGCAACCACAGACACAGGCTGGCCTCTCCTAGAACCCTAGGAAGGGTCCCATCTGAAACATTGTCACCACTCTTTTGCTGTATGGCCTTAAAAAAGTTACGTAGCCTTTCTGAAACTCAGTGTTTAAAGTTGTAAAATGGAAACAATGATATATATACCCAAAGGCTATTTACATATGTTAGAGAATATTTGTAAACACATATATAACAGTGCCTTTGCACACAAAACTGCTCAGAATGTTAGCTGTTCTTATTATTTAAAGTGCTAACACAATGTCAGGAAAATAGCAAAGGTGCAATAAATTGCAGCTTTTATTTATTATTCTACTTATCATTACCTACCATGCAAAGTAGGCAATTATTAACAATAATGTGCATTCATAAGTTGCTGGCAGTGTTTTGTGCCCAAGTGTGTTACATCCTTTTATCCGAGTTCAAATGCTTGAGCCTCAGTGCTGAGGGCAAAATTACTCTAAGCATTCATAAACTGTCATTTAAACATCATTTCCCTCTTTAGCCCACATACTGACCTTAGGTGCCTTCAGCTTAATGAGATTTATTTTCATTGCTTCAAAATGAAAAAATCAATTATTCTGAAGCATACAAAGAAGTCAGTATCAAAGATACAGTTGGGGAATAAGTTTTTTGAGCATTTTTATGTTTCTACAAAAGTCACAACGGATTGATGACAGCCCTGTCTTTTTTTTTTTTCCCGAATGAAGAAACTAAAACAATAGCTGTTAAAAGTCATGAAGCTTGCATTGTGGACCCAAGACGAACCAGTAGATGCCCTGTCCCAGACTTATAATCACCAAAAAGAATCAGGCTGTTCCTCTTCAAGTCTCATGATACCTGAGGCAGACCTTGGTCCTGTTAGGGATGTCTCTTAGGATAAAAGAATATCCCAGATTCTCCCCTGACATCAAGGAGATGCTGTTGCCAATGCAAGTTCAAGCAGTGCAGTACCCCTGCTTGGAGCAGTAGGGGAGAGGAAACTTAATGCTATTAAATACAAACTGTTGCTGTAGGTGATATGTTCTAGTCTAATTGTAGACATTTAATAAATCAGGATTTTTGAATGTCTCATTCACACACATGTACAAACACATACAAAAATTGAAGTGCTAAACAGCATGCTTTAAGAAATGGTAGATTTGTCTCTCCGTAAGTGACAAAACCCTATTATCTCCCATTATATATGCATTTTCCCAAAGGGCATCTCCAGATTATCAAAACACTATTAATTTTAATTAACTTAATAAATAAATGTCATTCAAACACTTAATGACAAATTGGGAAAATTGAATAGAGGCATTGTCATTACATTAATCCAGCTATGATAGAGTGTTACAATTCCAAAAAGGTCGAAGATTACCCGAAAGCTATAGAGAAGAATCTTATCAGTGGAAATGGACAGAAAATCAGGAGGAAAATTCTGGGAGAAAACAGCATATTCATCAAATTTTTTCCTTGTAAGCACTTATATTCCTAAAAGCCTTCTAACAACTAAATAATTTATTTGATACTCTCAGAAAATGTAATAAACTGTCATTTTTAGATAAATTTAGTATCAGTCTCCTTTGCAGTTAATAATGTTAGCTAATGGTTTGCATGTTTGTCTTTCCAGCAGAGTGTAATTTTATCACACTTTCGTAGGTCTCTAATTTGATTTACCATGGCTGAGAAGAGATTTTAAAAGGCCATTTTCTATTTTTATTGCCTTGGTGAAGATCTTCTTGGCTCTGTGCACAGATCCAAAGTTGTAGTAATAGGTATTCTTCGATGCAACATTTATATCATCATCTGTTTTTATCTACTTCCATTTTTCTCTATGATTTTTCCCCTAAAATATTTGCTAAATATTTCCCCTATATTTATATCTGTGTAGCACATAATCATTTATTTATATAAACCTTTCATGTTTACAAAGCACTTTCACATTTGTTGTAGTAGCTGGTCTTAATAACAGCTCTACCTAGGAGAGAGGGGGTTTTCATTATCCTCTATTTACAGAGGAGGACATGGAAGCTGAGGAAGCCCTGTGACTGGTCCCAGAGGTAGGGAGAGCCCACACCTCCCAAGTCTCAGTCCAGGGCTCTTTGTGCCCTGCAGCAGTGCCTCATACAGAATGAGAAGGAGCAGGAGGTGTAGGTAGGAGACCTTGTCAATGCTACCCAGGTGTGGCCCTGCCCGTCTAACTTTGTCTACACCTCTGCCCAACAGAGAGAATCTCAGCTTTTAATGGAATCTCTCTGTCTCCCTCTCTGTCTATCTGTGTCTCTGACACTCTAGCCTTGCAGCTCTCCCTTTGCATGGCTAATGCATTCTTTTTCTTGAAGGTTCTGTTCAGGCATCACCTCCTCTAGGAAACCTTCTTAACACCCCTCTGAGAACTGGATTAAGTGCTGCAAAAGCCCCCTCAGAGCATCTACCTCTTTGGGTTAAAATCATTTGCTTGTTGCAACTTCATCTTGAGCAAAGACAATTATCTCTCTCTGCACCCCTCACCCTCGAGAGACACACACACATGCACCCCACACCCCTCCCTCTACTGCAGCCACGTGGACCTACCTGCTCCTCCCTGAACTTGCTGGTCACGCTCCCTCCTGGACTCTGCTCCCACTCACTGCTGCCAGAAGGCTCTTACCCCTCCCCACCTGACATCTGGACATCGTGGTTCACCACTGTCCCCCTCCAGGTCATTACTCAAATGTCACCTGCTTAGCTCCCTGCTGTCTTAGTCCATTCAGGCTACTATATCAAAATATCACAGTCTAGGTGGCTTATAAACAACCAAAATTTATTTGATCTAAGTGCCGGCCAGTTCCATATCCAGGAGGGTCCCTGCCCTATGATTCGCAGACAGCACCTTCAAGGAACCAGTTAGCACTGTGCGGACTCACACTGGGTGCTGATCCCTCACCATCCCATCACCTCCCCAGAGCCTTGCTCTTAACAGCATCACACAGGTGGTTAGGGTTCGGTGCGTGGATCTGGGCAGGCGCAAACATTCCAACCACAGCTCCTCCTGTTTACACGTCCTAAACCCAGCTGCCTCTCTTCCTCCTCGGTTCATCCTTCTCCATAGAACTTGCACTTGACAGGTGTGTTTCACTTATCTGTTTTGATGGTTGATGTGTCTCCCTCCTGAGAATATGTGCATTATTGGTAATAATAAACTGACCTAAGCCAGATGTTTTGAACAAAGCCCTACAAGCTACCCTGGCTATCTGCATGAGCTGCTCATTAGCCGTTTTGTCTCTACAACAAAATAGCACATCTAGACAGGTGCTTGACACAGTTCCCTTGCCCGGCTCGGTGCTCACTGCCTCCCCCGCTGGGGCACGACAGAGTGTCTTCTTCCCAGAGGTTGGGATCATGTCATCAGGCCAGGTCAGTGATGCTTTCATCCTCCCTCAAACTGGTAGTAAACCCCTTGTGGAATCAGTTCTTTGGCACCTATCAGAAACGTTTTAAATGGCATTGCTCTGTATGTAGATAAAAATGAGAGAAATTAGATTCTCTCTTTATTGCCCACCATTGACACTAATTTATTTTCATTTTATGATATATATTAATGCACCATGTATAACATCGGGTATATTTAATTCATCATTGTATGTCATGGAATTTATTCATAAATTATTTATTCATTACATATTCATTAGCACCTTCTATGTTCCAGGCACTATGTTAGATGCTCTGAATTCAGGAACGAGCAAGGCAAATACTGTCTCTGTCCTTCAGCGGTGTGAAGGGGAGACAGGCCATTAAGGCGCACTGCAGAACCAGGCGGCGGGGGAGCCGGGCCGCTGTCCCGAGCGCGGCGGGACCGGTGCCGCGGCCCAGCCCTGCGCCCGGCCGGGCAGGCGTGCGGGCCGCGGGTCCTGAGCCCGCTTTGTCCCGGGTCTCCAGGCCTGCGAGGGCAACGTGTATTCGTCCAGCCATTCTGTCGGCGCGCAGCCGTTGACCGCCTGTCGCTGTGCACGCGACGGCCCCCGTTGCTGTGAGGCAGCTGGTGTCCGGCCTCCCGCCCGCAGCCGGCGCCCCGCGTCCGGTGCCCGGTTTCTGGTGTCCGGCCTCCCGCCCGCAGCCGGCGCCCCGTGTCCGGTGTCCCGCGTCCAGTGTCCCGCGTCCGGTGTCCCGCGTCCAGTGTCCGGTGTCCCGTGTCCCGTGTCCGGCCTCCCGCCCGCAGCCGGCGCCCCGTGTCCGGTGTCCCGCGTCCAGTGTCCCGCGTCCGGTGTCCCGCGTCCAGTGTCCGGTGTCTCGTGTCCCGTGTCCGGCCTCCCGCCCGCAGCCGGCGCCCCGTGTCCGGTGTCCCACGTCCGGTGTCCCGCGTCCAGTGTCCGGTGTCCCGTGTCCAGTGTCCCGCGTCCAGTGTCCCGCGTCCAGTGTCCCGTGTCCGGTGTCCCGCATCCAGTGTCCCGCGTCCGGTGTCCCGCGTCCAGTGTCCAGTGTCCCACGTCCAGTGTCCCGCGTCCAGTGTCCAGTGTCCCGCGTCCAGTGTCCAGTGTCCCACGTCCAGTGTCCCGCGTCCAGTGTCCCGCGTCCGGTGTCCCGCGTCCAGTGTCCAGTGTCCCACGTCCAGTGTCCCGCGTCCAGTGTCCAGTGTCCCGCGTCCAGTGTCCTGCGTCCGGTGTCCAGTGTCCCACGTCCCGTGTCCCACGTCCAGTGTCCAGTGTCCCGCGTCCGGTGTCCCGTGTCCGGTGTCCTGTGTCCGGTGTCCCGTGTCTGGTGTCCCTTGTCTGGTGTCCCGTCTCCCGCCTGAGTCCGGTGTCCCGTGTCCGGTGTCCCGTGTCTGGTGTCCCGTCTCCCGCCCGAGTCCGGTGTCCCGTGTCTGGTGTCCCATCTCCCGCCCGCAGCCGGTGTCCCTCGAGGCCTCCTGCTCTGCTCTGTCTTTGCTGCGCCGCGGGCGGTGGCGATAGAGCTGGAAGCCACCACATTCGGAAGGATGAAGGATAAATAATGCTTCTTTCTTCTGTCATCTTCCATTTCCAGGCTTAGAAGAAAAGGGAGAAGAATTTGCCAGCATGCTTACAGAGCTTCTCTTCGAATTACATATCGCGGCCACACCTGACAAACTCAATAAGGTCAGCACCATTTGATTCAAAGTGATTGGGAAAAATTACCAAATTTTGTAAAAATTGTAAAATTTCTTGTAAAAAAATTGTAAAATTCCAGACACCCACCTGAAATGGAAAAATCCCATATGGCACAATGGGGAGAGGGATTTTGAGGTCAGTAGTTAAGATTTGAAGAGGCAACATAATAAAATGTGATACTAAAGAACATGCTATACTGCTATGAGACCTGCATTTTAGTTGTAATTTTACTAATAATTAATTGCCTGTGACCTTGAGCAAGTCACTCACCTTTTTGTGGCAAAATAGAATGTTATATCAGAGCAGTGGTTATCAGGATGGGGGTGGATGAGGGGACAGAATCACCAAGGGGCTTTTCCACATTCCACCTCCCCGTCCCCCTTGTAAGCAGAAACGCCAGAATTGGGCAGAGAGGAGCACCTTGGCCAGGTTAGCCACGCACCCCCACCTGGGGCAGAGGCGCTTCGTCATGTCTGAGAAGCTTCCGCCTCTTGCAGTCTGGGCTGCCCTAATAGCACCACAGTATGACAGTACAAGGTCTTGCCGTGAAGTTTCTTAAGGGGACACTGATCGTTACTGACTTAAAACTCTGTGATTGGCCAGTGGCTCACGCCTGTAATCCTAGCACTCTGGGAGGCCAAGTCAGGAGTTCGAGACCAGCCTGAGCAAGAGCGAGACCCCGTCTCTACTAAAAAAAAATAGAAAAAAATTAGCTAGTCAACTTAAAAATAGAAAAAAAATTAGCTGGGCAAGGTGGCATGTGCCTGTAGTCCCAGCTACTCGGGAGGCTGAGGCAGGAGGATATAGCGTGAGCCCAGGAGTTTGAGGTTGCTGTGATCTAGGCTGACGCCACTGCACTCTAGCCCAGGTGACAGAGTGAGACTCTGTCTCAAAAAAACAAAACAAAACAAAACTGTGTGATGTTTTTCCATTCTCTCTCTCTCTTTCTCCCCCTTCCTTCTTCTATGCGAGTTGGCCAGTGGCGTTTATCTCAGCATTCACTTATCAAGGTGGGCGAGGAAAGGCAGGAGGAAGCAGGGGGGTGGTGGTGTGAGTGAGTCCCTCATCTAGGACAGTCGCTGACTCCTGTCTCGGCAGCACCTGCCGACACTCAGAGGGCGTTTGGCGGCTCCCAGGCTCTAGGGCTTATTTGCATTGTCAGGGCAAACGTTTGCCCTAACAAAGAACACACCAAGGACAGCTTTTTTGGGTTTTCTCTCCCCATATCTTCTTACTATTAACTTGCCATTCAGCACTCTGACATATACTTCAACATTTAAGCTTTGCAGTGAGAAGTAAGTTCAGCATAAGCTCAGAAACAATTTTTACTTAAGTAAACAGCTTAAACTATAATAGTAAAAATGTAGATGAGTCTGCCCTTTCTAAGTTGAGGAAATAACAGGGAAGGTGGTTTCTGCTTTAATTCAGCCATGATTTTTAATACCACAGGTTGCTTAAACTGCACTCGTGTGAAACTGAACTAGCCGCAGAGCAGCACCTGGTCTTCCCTGCAGCCCTTCCCTTCTTCCTCTCGAGGGTGGGAGGCCTGCCACGAACCGCACAGCGGCAGCTTTCGCCCGCCCAGCAGGATACGTTGTTAGGTTCATGAAACATTAAGACTTTCATGAGATATATCAGATGTGGCTTTAGCCATGGCCCTGTCTCAATTTCTAACCTGTATTTTTTTTAAATACTGTTCTTCTTTTATAGTTAGTCATGAAAAGTGAAAAATATACCATAGATTTTTCAATGTGACTGTCATTTTTATTCTTATCTGAACATTATTTTAAAATGCTTTTTAAAAAATCCTCCAGTCCTCCTATATTCCCTCCATACTTTCTATTCTGTCTCCTTTTTCCTACTTTATATCTACTGTAAATCAACATTAAGATTATCTTTTAAGAGGGTTGAGGAATTGCCACTTCACCCTTCAAGACACAGCGATTCTTCCTTGAAGATTTTGAGACACTTGATTTTAGTCTGGGGGTTGGCAGTACTTAGTTTCCATATTTGCACAATAAATGTGTTGCTTGTTGGGCCTTTGCAGGCCATGAAAAAAGCTCATGCCTGGGTGGAGGAGGATCAAGCCACGGTGTCGGTAAATGTGGCAAAAGACCCAGAGGAGGAAATGAAGAAGGAAGAAAAAGAAGAGAAACCTAAAGACCCTCAAGAAGACAAAAAGGGAGAAAAGAGAACTAAGACAATAGAGGTAAATTTATTCTAGATTGTCCACCTACAGGACAGTAATATTATATTCATTTTATTAGCAGCCTAATTACAAGAGAGGAGAGGCCATTTCTTTTTCATGTGTACCCTGTTCCATAACATAGAAATATGAGTAGGAATGTGATAAACGCTAAAATTTCTCTATGCCAAGACAATTCGTGGCTTAGTGAAGATTTTATAGCTTTTTTTCATAGCTTTACAATTATAATTTAAAGGGAAAAAGATATTTAAGAACATAGTTGATTTATCTTTAGGGTAGATTTCCATCTTATATGCAAATGTGTTACTATAAAATGTCTTTATGCCTTATAACTAATGAAGTAATTAAAGCTTTTTAAAAATATTTTCATTGCTTCAGCTTTTATTCTGTAGTTTAATAAATTTATGTGTGCATAATTTATACCCTGCCTGTGTTCAAAAAATAAGTTTGCAATAACTTCATCTTACATTGAATTGTAACTGTAATAAAAGTTTTTTAAATTAGATCACTCTGAGGAAAAATGTCCACTGAGGTATATTCATTCAGCCTCCCTTCCACACATCTTCCTTGGTGCCCGTCTGTTGTGTGCCCTGCGTAGCTCTCAGTACTGGGGACACAGCCATGAATAGGTTTGCCCATCCCTGGGGACCTGGTGGCACTTCCATTTTATAACAACATTCTACTTAGAAAAGTTTTAGCCATGCCCATAATCTTTGGGTAAACTTTTCCATGTTATATTTGGGTTATTTAAAAAGAATTCTATCATTTTTAATATCACAGGGTTTAAAAAAAAAGCACCTGCTCAGGGACCGTTTTCTTCTTTGTATTTATTTATTTCAGGAAGTCTACGTGTTGTCCATCGGAAGTCTGGCAGAAGTGACAGCCCGCTGTATTGAGCAGCTTCATAAAGTGGCAGAATTGATTCTTCATGGGCAAGAAGAGGAAAAACCAGCTCAGGACCAAGCAAAAGTTCTGATAAAGTAAATAAATGTTATTTTATTTCTGATAAATGTTACATGTAATTCTTAATTTTCCAATCTCATATATTTATGTGCCATTCAGATCCACACTCACACACAAATACCCGAGGCCACTAAAGATTCAGATGTCAAGTCTTCCATTGTTCCATGGTCATCTTAAGAAATAAGAAATGCATTATGTTAACAAGAAGAAGAAGAATTAACTAGGAATTATTTATGAAGAGATTAAAGTGAAGACCCCCAAAAGTATTTATTTTAATAAATCAAAGGCTTGGAAGTACAGACTTTTGAGGATAATTACATTTCCAACATACCACATGAATAGAAAGGGAACACTGGCACAGCTTGTCAGCTAGCTCTGCAGAGACAGACACACTGCCTTGTCCCTAGGGACTGACACCAGCCCTGCGTCTGAACCCTGGTAGTGATGGTCGCTGATGTGAGCAGCTCGCTGCAGACTGCCCCCGTGTGCTTGTGTGGGTCATTCAATATGCTCTTCAATAAGAGTAGCTAGTTATAATTTATTGAGTGACATAAAAATGTGTATGTATGTAACATATATGTATATGAGATCTAGGGAATATACATGAAAATAGTTGGTATGGAGTTAAGAATAAGTTCTTAACTTTTATATACGTGACTATATATTATAATATAGAAAATTAGCACAGGTCCAAGTACCCTGTTGCTATTATACAGACACAGGAGCCAAAATCAGAGCCCTCTGAACATATATGGGGACATACACACACACATACATCTCTCAGCACACTCATTCACTTTGCTAGCTAACTAGTCTTTGCTTACTACCACATTTGGCATTGTAGGTTGGGGAGTAAGTTTTTAGTGGAAGGACCTTTGGAAAGGTCAGTGTTAGTGTCTTTGTACTGGTAGCATTTTTCCTCACTTGTAAAGATTGGTAATTTTATCTAGATTTTCATATCTAAGCATATAAAAATCAAATATAAGAACCACATAATACCTCCCTTAATATTCCTAGAAAGAATACGTACTCACCTTAACATATAGAAGGAAGAGGAAAGGGAAAAATAGGAAAAGTTTAAAATATTGAGGACAATATCTAGGCACTATTTTATCTTGGCAGTACTGATTTGAAAGGGGAAGGCTGGACTTCAGAAGTCCCTGAGTGTAGATAGGATAGGATAGAGTAGGAAAGGGTAGGATATGAGGACCTTACTCTTAGCTCCTTTCCCTCCCAACCTTACCAAGCTGCACTAAGCCCTTGATTGGTCTGTACAGTAGGTGCCGCCACACTCACCTGCCAGAGAGCACAGACAGAATGTCCCTCGGCTACCCTGGCCTTGCTCTCAACCCTTTCTGCAGACAAGTTTTGATGGATGGATATAGCTCATCAAACCTAAGTACGTAGGTTAGATAGGCCCCTACTTATCAAAACAAAACTTAACCTCTACTGACTTTACTGTATCTTCTAATAATTAAGATTCTTAACTTGGGGTTATTGTTTTTTCTAATAGCATTTTAATCACTTTTTATAAAAGTTATATATACTAATTGTTAGAAAAATATCAGACAGTACCTACAGTATTAGGTTATTAGATTGTTTTCAGTTTTTGTCATCCATAATATTAGGATAAATATTGTTTTGGTTAAATAGGTGTGTCCATCTTGCATTATTTTCTTGGCGTAGTCTTAGAAATGCAGTGCTAGAATAAACTTGGAATTTTGATATAATTTATAAAAACATATTCTATAAGATCTCTATTTTGAGGCATATCAATAAAGACATAATGAAAGTAACAAGAGACACCTGAGTTTGGCTCTACTGCTCACCACTGCATGTCCTGAGCAGGTACTCAGCCTTCAATGTCAGTTTTTCATCTACATGTATTTATTGATGTATTTATTGATCATATAACCCATAAGGTCACTATGAGTATTAAAAATGAAAGTACTGAACATAGTGCCTCAATAAATGTTCATTATTATTTTAAAATGACCAGGAAGCTGGAGAGAAGCCACCTGGCAAGAGTTCGTGCCTCTGTATGTGTGGAGCTCCAGCCTGGCATTTTCCTGCACTTCATTTTGATTCCAAAATGAGGTCAAGTGAGTTAGATGATTATTCTCTAATTAAGCATAAAGAGAAAACCAGGATTAGATTAAACCACGATTGTGAATCATAGAAGATTATTGAGGAAAACTGTCTGATTGCCCATTTCTGTATAATAGCATCTTAAAGAGAGTCTGCTGTTCTTTTAAACATAAGACTGTATTAGTATCAGTAATTGTCAAACAGCTAAATTATTTACCTAATTGAAAACCCCCAAACCTCTTCTTTCTTATTTCAGATTAACTACTGCAATGTGCAATGAAGTGGCCTCCTTATCAAAGAAGTTTATGAATTCTTTAACCACTGTTGGGGTAAGATTACAATATTGATTTTTTTTCACCTTTTTTAAGGGAAGTAGATCTGCAAGGGTTTTGAGGAAACGTGGAAGATGTAGCGCCTTCTTTAAAGGTGCTACGGAAGCTGCACAGCGATGCGAGCTGAAATCAGACGGGCACCTGCAGGCAGTACAGGCCCCTCTGCCTGGGGCCTGGCCGGCCTCCGCAGCACGCCGTAGGGGGTTCAAGCCTCCATGGGCCTCATTTTCTTTCCTTTTTTCTTTAAGTGTCAGATGAAGGTTCCTTCCAGTACAGATAGATAGCTGTATCTGTGATGTATATAATTCAGGAATCTTTATTAAAATAGTGAATTTTGAATATTTTCATTCATTGTTGTTCTCAGAGCCTATTTTATAAGCCATACAAGAAGTTTCTTGGTTTTATTGTCACACTTCAACTTTAATGGAAAGACAATGTCACTGATTGGCTTAAGTGTTTCTATTCTCAGGGTAACAACTTTGAAAGGTTCAGCATTCATTTGGAGGTGTGGCTTCCAGCTGTTTTCTTTAAAAATCAGCTTAGTGGTGCCAGAAAAGACAAGTGGAAAGTATTCCCTTTGACCTTACTACTTTTTTCTTTTAAAGCCCTCAATGCAAGTTCTGATGATTCTTTCCATGAGAAACAGCAGGTTTACTTCCTATTTTAGTTAGCGGGATGTTTTGGTTGTGAGTGTATTCATTTCCTAGGGCTGCCGTAACAAAGTACCACTAATTGTGTGGCTTAAACAGCAAAGATTTATTCTCTCAGAGTTCTGGAAACTAGATGTCCGAAATCAAGGTGTTGGCAGGGCCACACTCCCTCCGAGCCTCTGTGTCCTCTCTCCTTGCTTCTTCCTGCTGTGGTGGCCCCAGCATTCCTTGGCTGTGGCTGCAGAACTCCAGATTGCCTCCGTGTCTCTTCCTCACTTCCTTCCCTGTGTGTGTCCAAACTTCCTTTTCTTACAAGCACACCGGTCCTGCTGGGTTGGGGCCTGGCCAACAGGACCTCATCCTAACGTACTGCACCTGCAGCAGCCCTAGCTCCAGGTAAGGTCACAGTCTGTGCTCCTGGAGGTTAGGACTTAGTATATCTAATTGAGTGGACCACAGTTCAACCCATAACAGGAAGCAACAGAAACAAGTCCCAAATAATGTAAAGAGAAAAGGAGCTTCATGAAGCAGAGGAGGAGCGTGAGCAGCTGTGGGGACCCAGCACCACGGCTCACGCACCTCTGTCTCAAGTGTTGCTGTCAGGGTGACTCAGTGGTGGCAGCTTCCAGCCCCATGTGTCGCTCCGTTCAAATTCCTGGCTCCTGGGTAAGGAGGTTTGAAAAGCTCATCAGCAGGGGTCAGATGTCCACCTTGGTATCCCTCAGTTGCAACCAGGGACAGGGTCACATCTTGCAGAGCTACCTGGCTGCTGAGGTACACCCCTTCCCCTCCTCAGGCCAAGAGCTGTTCTCAGAAGAAGTGAGAAATGATCATGGGCCTGGCTGTCACCCCAAAAGAGGTCTGTCCCCCACTCTTCTGTAAGTGACTTAGTTAGTAAGGGGTAAGGTACATACCACCTAGTCTGCTGTCATGAAATCTGGTTTTCTTCTCCCATTTTGTGAAGCAGCCGCTTTCACAGCTGTCTAGTGTTGAGCCCTCAGCAATAGAGCTTCACTGTGTACAAGCAGAGTGCCGGGGGAGGCGGCGCTCACCGATACATGGTGGTCTGGATAAATGCACTTGTGTGTCCAGTGTTGTCTAAGTTACCTGATGCCCACAGACTTTGGTGTAAATGCTAGATTTGCAGAGAGGTCCCGGGTTCCCAAGACTCTATTGTACCTTCTTGTCACTCTGGTCATAGTTTACAAGATGAAGAAACTGAGGCCCAGAGGGGTGAATTGATCCATCCCGGCCTCTCAATTGATTTCCCAGCTTGCAGTTGGCTGCCTGTCAGGTACATCAGACAGACAGCCAAATGTCTGGGTCTCTATGGTTGTCTGGGGTTGAGGGTGTGTGTGTCTGCACGTGTGTCTGTGTGTGTGTATTTGTGTGTGTTTGATGTTAAACATTTATCTACATTAGTGCATAATATTCATGGTATTGCTTTCCATTCCTTTTAACATGTCATATTCCAGCACAGTGCTTCTCAAACCTTAATGTGCAAGCAAATCACCTGGAGATCTTGGTATGCAGATTCTTACTCAATAGGTCTGGGATGAGGACTGAGATTTGGCATTTCTAATAAGTTCTCAGGTGACGACAATGTTCCAGATCCACAGTCCACAACTTGGCCGGGCGCGGTGGCTCACGCCTGTAATCCTAGCACTCTGGGAGGCCGAGGCGGGCAGATTGCTCGAGGTCAGGAGTTCGAAACCACAGTCCACAACTTACGTAGCAAGACTCTGGCAGATAGTGTGTACTTGAACTTATATATATACGTGTACGTATATACACATGTGTACAAATGTTTACATGCACAAAATAAGAACACATGGTTATCATTTTGAAGAAGAGAAAGCTGACTTTAAATTAGAGTTTACTGAAATGCCATCTCACTACAACAGTGCCTCTGGTGTTGGGCTGTGATGAATCATTCACATCGTCATTGTTTCTGTTCTCTAAAACAGCCATTATTCATAACTTGAAGTTAATGAGTGTGTGTTACTCTCCAGACCCCATTTAAATTGCTTGCACATCTCATTGATTCTGAAAACCAATGTCATTTTATTGCCCTCATTTTGATTATATTTTAGAGGTTTATTGATAATCAAATAAACATCAAAGCAAATACTATAATGGATTTTGTGGTCACTTACTAAAATGTCTCAGATTTTAAGGAGTTTTTTCCCAAGACTCCATTATGGTTTCCCCATTAAGATGTTACTTCACCCTTTTATTGGTAGAGTAATGCCAATAAAAGTGCGCTGCTCTGGGAAGATATTTTTAATTTACACATTTTTGCTTACAGTAAACTCTTCCAGGTAAAGTAAAAGAAACCAACCAAATAAGATTGCCCTCTCTCTCCAATCTCTTTCATCATTTATGGCCTAAGAGTAGATCGAACATTTTTAGATAGAGAAGACTCTTGATTGATAGGCCAATACCATCAATAAGGGTAATAATACTAACACTAGCTTTCACTTTTTTTTTTTTTTGAGACAGAGTCTCGCTTTCTTGCCTAGGCTAGAGTGAGTGCCGTGGCGTCAGCCTAGCTCACAGCAACCTCAAACTCCTGGGCTCAAGCTATCTTCCTGCCTCAGCCTCCCGAGTAGCTGGGACTACAGGCACAAGCCACCATGCCCGGCTGATTTTTTTTTTATATATATATTAGTTGGCCAATTAATTTCTTTCTATTTTTTTATGGTAGAGACGGGGTCTCGCTCAGGCTGGTTTTGAACTCCTGACCTTGAGCAATCCGCCCGCCTCGGCCTCCCAGAGTGCTAGGATTACAGGCGTGAGCCACAGCGCCCGGCCGCTTTCACTTTTTAAGCACCTACTTTATACCAGGTTCTGTGCTCCACGCTTTACATATATTCGTGTTTTTCAAATTTGGATCTGTAGACCTGTTTGCAAGTTATACTTAAGAATGTTTTAAATTTGCTGCTCTTCTAGAAGATTCCCTATAACCAAGTATCCCTGTTTACATTTAAAAGAAGAAAGAAAAAAAGACTAAACCAGGGCTTGGACTAGGTTAGACAAGTGAGGGATTTAACTCACCTGTAAAATTGAAAGGAGCACAAAAAAGAAAAAGAAAAAAACCCAGTAATCTAGATAGATATTTTAAGGCAATATTTTAAAAAAATTAAAATGCAAAAAAAACTATCAACAAAATATCAAAATTTTAAGTAAAGACAGGATCCAACTCCACACTTGTACAACTTATCCTCACTCCCTTCACCCTAATCTTAGACTTGCTACAAACTTTAAATAGTTTAAAAGGTCTGAAATTGCTAGCTGTGGGAACTCAAACAAGTTATCTGACCTTCCTGAACCCTATTTTCTTCTCTTTAATTTAGAGTTATCATGATATCTAACTACCCCCTAAGATTTCTGTAGAAATTAAATGAGACCATATAGTGTAACACCAGACAAAGCCTAGTCTGTAGTAAGCATTCCACTTCTCCTCCTCTTCCTCTCTAAGAGATCCCTCAGCAGAGCCAGCGTGTTACACTCTATGTGGCCAGCCTTGCAGTATGAGCACCTAATCTGTCAATTTCATACTTTTGATTCCACAGAGTGACAAGAAGGCTGAGGTCCTTAACCCCATGATCAATAGTGTATTGTTAGAGGTAAGTGGCCCCCAGAGAGAAAGTACTTCTGAATCAAAGCAAATGTTAGAGCTCCTTTGTTTTTTGTCCTTCTCCCAGCAGCAAATGTTATTGCAATGTTATTGCAATTCTAAATCTTATCGTCAACAGGTTTTTTTAGTACATTTATGTAGCTCGACCAGCTGTAAACCCTCTGGTGAAGCAACAATTTTCAAGAATTCCTGATTATAAAAAGAAATGCTAAGCTTGCATGTTATTTCTGTAACTGTTCCCTCCAGCAGAAGCAGATTTCTGCTGCCAATTTGACACGAGATGTAGCACTGTGATTATTGGCTGTAGTGAGGGATTATTGCTCAGTGGTGATTTTCATCAAAATGAGTACCCCCCCCCATTCACAATAACCTTTGGTTTAGCTGGGTCCAAGCTCCAGGCTGGCAAAAATGACAAGTAGAGTGTCTAGCCTTTGCCCCTTCAGTGACAAGGGGCACCATCATCTATGACCATTCACTCTATGGCCTGCCCACTCACCAGTACCTTGTGGCATCAGTTGCATAGAAATGAAGCTGCCTCAACACTGCTGTAGGTTTTCCAGAAACCATGATGTAAGAGAAGAAAAGGGGCCCAGGAGGCCCTCTCATTCTTGCAGCATAGGTACTGTATTCTACCTGCAGAGAAAGGGTAGACGATCGGTGGAGCAAAGTCTTCCATGAAGGGCCAAACTTTAAGAAACTGGCACATCTGTAGCCACAGGACACCCCACTGAAGCCACACGGTGTTAACAAGCTAAGTTTGAACATGGGCAATGCATATGCAGTTTTTTGCTTTATGAAGTAGCTATTGATTGCAAAATTTGAAAATTACATAACTTCAAGAGGGTTTTGGGGAATTGTTCCTTAACCTTACTGTTAAGGAAAACTACCAAGGTACAAAAATAGCAAAGTGGTGGCACTGAGTGTTACTATTTAGGATGCAGACATACAGTGGGATGGAGTCGATCAGAAAGGACAGGAGCTACAGGGCAGGTCCTAGAGGGACAGACACAGCTAACAGGAAACGCTGAAAGGCAGAGGTAGAATATGGCAAGAGGAAATTTCTGCCCTGGCCACCCAGAAGTCATTAGCAAATTAATTTACCATGTCAGTCATGAGAATATTAGGTCAAGTGTTTTTTTCATTTTCCCAGTGGAAGTTTTCACATGTTTTTGTTACCCTACCCTTTAATGGCCTCTCCAATACTGTTTGTTAGTGTACCACACGCTAACAAACTAGTGAATAGTGCTATCAGATGCACAGACTAAGCAGAAAGGACCATGCAAAGGAGCATGACAGTATTCGAGGATTTGCCATGAATGGTTACCCAATAATATTTCCAATTAGCTTTATATAGACCACTCTTGTTTATTTACCTGTAGGGCAGGACAAACTGACCTCCTTCGTACTGTGCTTCTGTGTTATTTCGGGGCAGCAGGGTTGATCTGGGGGAAGGGTAGATGAGACTGAACATACTGGGCCATGAATAGACTCACACTGTGAAGTCTTCTCTGGTAGTGCAGCTAATTAAGAGCTGGGCATACTCCATCCAAGAGAATGTGTTCACACTGGCTTTATGCACCAATATTACAAGAAAAATATAATCCAATGTTGGGAAGTTTGAGGAGAGAGAACATTGTCAAATTAGGAGAATTGTCAAGATTGAGCTTTGAAAGTAACCTTCAGCCTCCTTGTCCCTGTCCACAGGGCTGCAACAGCACGACGTACGTGCAGGGCGCCCTCCAGCTGCTGCTGCCGGTTCTGCAGGTTTCGCACATCCAGACCAGCTGTTTGAAAGCACAGCTGTGACCCCACCAGATGCCATGGAGCCAAAGGACATGGCAGGCCAGGTTGCTTTCATATCTAAGCGGATGTTTTCTATACAGCTGGCCACAGACACCCATTTGAGGACACTACAAGCAATTTTGCACAGACAGCACTGAGAATGCACGTTTAAAGAGAGCTGTCATTTCTCTTAATGTATATGGTTGTTTTGACAAATAATTATGTTTTCTTTATGTTAATTATGTTACATGGCTTATATTGAAAATTTTCTTTAGTCTGAAATTCATTCACAAATATTCATGTCCACTTTCCTGGTCAAACATGCTATATTTAAAAATTCATAGGCAGACCCTAGGATTTTTAATTCTTTAAATTTCTACCTTTAAATGTCCCATTCTTATAGTATTACTTTAAATCAATTCTTATATTAAACTTTTATTACATAAATGTCATGGGCAAAAATAACACTACTGACAGATTTTACCAATTATGGTAAAAGAGGGACATAAGTATCTCTTTATAGTCATTCATTCTTGCAAAAGCATTTATTGAGTACCTACTGTGAGTTCACAACAAAGGAGCATGATCTCACTCCAGTAGAGGCAGATAGCAGGGTTTATGATGATTCCTAAAATGCTTTAAAATGCTAACAAATTTTCAAAAACTTACAAAATGTTAAGAACAGGGTAAATTGGTTATTTAAAAAAATTGGTGGTTTACCTTTCACTTCATTATATTTTCCCACACTGTCTGAACTATTTTATCCCAAACTTCATATTTGGGGTAAAAATATGTATGAAAAGGGGTATTGAGGAGTATTTGGTTTACAATTGACTTATTCTAATGGCAGAATTACAAAGCTTGGAGGTATTTGTCCCATGAAAGAGTCATATGTGCAAAGTGACCCCCCAAATGCTGGAGGAGCCAAGAAACCAAAGAAGAAGGCAGACAAATCCAGTTTGTGGCCATAGGATGATTTATTAGGGGGACTTACAGACAGAAGCATGGTCTTGGGTGGCCACAGGACAGGTAGATCTCCGCACCACAAGCCCCCACTCCCAGGGCTTATGTTTTCGGGGAAAAGCACCAGTGCTCTGGAAGGAATGCGCAGGCGGCTCGGCCGGCAGCGCCGGGCTGTTTGGAGGAAGGCGAGCCCGGAGCGGGGAGGTGTTCCTATGTAAACAGTAATAGCCCACCAGGCATTTGGGAGGATTCCCAGATTCGAGGTTAGCCAGGCAGATTAGCATTTAAAAAAAATAAAGTCACTCTTGACCCCGCAGTAGTAAAATAGGAAATCAAAGGGATTTTAACACGGTAGAATCCCAGGACTGCATTTCCAAGTCTGCCCCGCAGACTGCGCTCGCCGCGCCCCGCGGGGCCGCCTGGGAGCCGGAGCCGGCGAAGGCGAGGCGGGCAGCAGACTGCGCGGGGGCGCCCTGGCGCGGGTCGCAGGGCCTGTGTGCTGCCCCGCACCCCCACGGGCACTGTGCCCAGAAGTCTTGCCCGGTAGCTCTCTCCAGGACAAATGAAGCTTGCAGTTGTGCGAGAGTGAGAATCTCCTGTTCATATTTGCTTTTGTTCCCCTGGTAGAAGAAACTGCCTTTGTTCCACACAGGCAAGGTAGGGGCATCTTCATGTCACCCCCTACTATTATTAGTGTTTTCTGTGTCCTGTATTTTATGTGTGTATCTCCTGAAACAGCCATAGAAACATAAGAACAATTTATTTACAGCCTAGAAAATAATTCTCTGAGGGATCAATTAAAGATTTTTTTCCTCCTTTTTTATTGCCTGAAACGTTTCTCTTATTAATTCCAGAGAATGATTAACTAATGAAAATGTTTTATTTACCTCTTCATAAACTTTAGACTTTTTAATGTATAGAGTAGAGGAAATGATTTAGATTTACAATTTCTTCACATCAGGTTTTCTTTTTAGCATCATATTAGTTTAGACATTAACTGGAAATGTAAAAGAAAAACAGATTTTCTCTAAGGAGCTAAATTTCCAAACTTAGACATTTTGCCTAACTCCACCCATTTAGTACATAGCAAAAATTTTAACCAAAATAAAATGGAAATCTTTAAAAGAATAAGAAAGATAATTATTCAAAAAGAAGTGGCTGGCATTATTGACGTTGCGTGTATGTCTTTGTGGCAGGTATCAAAGGTTGCCAGGCGGAGACGCAGGCTGAGAGATGACTCCCCGGCCTAGTTCCGTGGTCTGTGAATGACATTCTTTAAGAGAGAATAATCACTTAAAAATATATCCACCCTCCAAAATATCTTTCAATACTGTTTTTCACCATCACTTTTAAATAATGTAACTGCTTCTTTGTTTTGCTTTAACCTGGCAAACACAGGATTCAGACCTGGGCAAATGTCAATCAATTACTGAATGAATGATTTAACAGGCTTCCCTTGGAAGTGTTGTATTCCTTCAATAATCCTTTACATAAATTGGATTCATTTCACTGTATGCAATTACCCTGAACAAGTGTGCCAGTTTTTTTTTTTTACATCAAGTGCAAAGTAAGGTCTAGTCTAAATAATGAATGTCCTGTGCCTGTGCCCGTGCCTTATTAAATAAAAAGCATCAAAAGCAGATTTCATGTCCAAGAAAAATTGTTGTCAGGTATTGCAACATACAGATCTAAAGGGCAAAACTGAGTCCCCGATCGCAAAGCACAGGGCAGCTCACGCATGCTGCGCCGCTGAGAAGACTGGCTCTGTGTCCAGCTCCCGGGCGGGGCTGCTCGTGGAGCTCAGAGCTAAAGGAGTGGTATGAGAGTGTGCAGCACTGCAGCAGCGCCAGCTGCAGACCGTGGGCCTCAGCTGCAGAGCTCAAAGGGAGGAAGGCAGTTCAGGAGAGAGGCCTGAGCACAGAAGTGAGAGCATTTACTTGTACTCTGTAGGAATCAGCTGCCCAAAAGCACCCAAAGATCTGGAAGGTCGCCTTCTCCACAGGCAGGCCGTGCTGTGCGTACATCAGCAACAAAGGCAGGCAGATCTCAATCATAGCCATCCAGAAGTCCAGGATATAACATCTCAGGGAAGCAATTTAGCAAAAATTTGAAATAAACATTTTATTTCTCTTTCTTCCTCAACACTGTGTCGGGGTTGGGGGTGTGTGTGTGTGTGTGTATGTGTGTGTGTGTGTGTGTGTGTGATCACAACATATAACTTCAGATGGTATTTAATTTTATAAAGCAATTATCCTTCAGGGTCAAGCTGAAGGTCAAGTTTTTGAATAATGTAAAAACAATCCTTTGATCCTCCTCTTGAGCATGCCCTACATTCTGATATTCAGATCCAGGCTTCTGTTTGGTTTCTTAAATTACCATGTTTATAAAGGCACATCAAAGAGATCATACTGAAAATCTGTCTCAGAACTGCAGTTCTGCTCTGGTTTTGTAGATGATTAGGATTCATAATACCATAGGAGTGGATTCAGATCAGCCATTCTTCACATAAAAGAAAAAACTGATGTGGTTAAGCATGTGTTTTATTTTTCTAGGTATCACTTAGGCAGGTTTATGTTCATTTTCTATGTATTCATTCATATGAGATGCTACCCTAGAATATGTGCTGTTAAACAAATTTGAGGAAAGACACCATTCTACTCATTTTTTTCTTAGACCCTAAAAATAATCTGAATTATTCTACCCTTTGAACATTTCACCTTTAGTAATGATTGAATTAGGGCACCCAAGACAGCAGGAAGTGTATGGGTGGTTGCTTCTGCTGTTCTGGCGTCCAGGATCATCACAGACTGGGAATAGATGCTGATTATGGAGGGTCAGAATTTTATGTTGGGATTTAAACTACATTTACCTTTGTCTAGATCAGAGAGGATTTTTCTCTGCATGAGCTATCAGCCACAAAGCAGCAGGGTTATGTCAGCCTGTGGTCACTGCTGACTCTAGACAGGCCTGTCTCTTCTACTAGTCTCAAAGGAATTCTATATTGCAGAAGAAGAATATGTATATTTCTTAAATGCCTTCACTGAGTGCAGCAGATCAGGGCAATCCAGAGATGTCCTATCTCCCTGCCCTCGGTTTCACGCTAGGCTTGCAAGCTGCCATTTGGAGGAAAAAGCCAGCGTAGAAGCCAAGGCCAGATGGATGAAACCTTGGCAAAAAACAAAGCTGAGCTTCTGCCTTTGAGTCTCATTTTTCTCTCTCAGGAATTTTTTGCCAAGGTTTCATGACAGTCACCAAGTACCTGACTTCCAGGATCAGCTTTTAAAATCCTGCCCGTCATTTCCATATCTTTCCATATCCCTTCTCTTTCTCTACATTTTTACTCTGCTTTCTCCGTTTGCCAGAATGCAATCTGTACAAAAGATTTCAATCATAATCATTAATATGCATTTACTATATGCTAGGCATCGTATTGAGTATTTCATTTGCATTATCCCATTTAATCTCCATAATCACCCTATTGCATAGATATTATTATAATCTCCATGTACAAATGAGAACATTGAGACCCAGAGATGTTATATGACTTGTCCAGATTTACACAACCAGTAAAACAGAGCCCGGATTCAAACCTGGGTCAGTTTAACCTGACTAGCAAGCATTTTTAACTTTTAAGACTTTTTAAGACAGGCTTCCCAACAAAACAGAACTGTAACATGTTATTTTTAGAGCCATCTGAGCGCTCAGGTTTATATGTTTAGCTGTCTTTGAGCGGTAAGGTAGATCTGTAGCTGGAAGATGTGGTTGTCAGCTCTGGTTGTTTCCATGCAACTGAGAACAAACTGAGACTAAAGAGACAAAGAATGAAGCAATGAAGCCAAGTGAGGTCGTTCTGCCCTGGGCGGTTCTCACTGCCGCCTCCTCTTCCTCATGGCCCAGGCGCCCACACAGCAGCCTCCGGCCACTCACACAGCATGCTGTCTCACGAGTGCCTTGATGTCACTAGTCTCCACTTCCTCCTCCCTCTCCCTTCTCTGGTGCCAGGGAAGCCCGTGGTAAATCACCACCATTCCTGAAAATCCTTAACCCTCCACTGCCTTCCTGGAGCATGGGTTTTTGTTTTTGTTTTTGTTTTTAATGCTTTTACTTCCTTGAAGATTAGACTTGTCTAGACAGCCTTTAAGCTGAATCATCAGTTCCAAGTCCTGCGAGATAATGATTAGTATTTTAAAGAAGTATTGAATAATGCCTTCTTGCCCCTGAACTTGGTGCTGATCTTTGTTAAGCCCAGGAAATGATGATCCTGTGGAGGTCGTGACAGTGATGATGAGGATGATGGCATACTTGCTGATTATGTGCTATGTATGCTTCGGACACAGAGCACAGGCATTTCACGTCTGTGGTCTGATGTCATCCTCCACATCTACCTTATGCGATAGCTGCTATTACTGTCATACCCATTTCACAGATGAAAACTGAAGCTCAGAGAGATTGAGTAATCTGCCTGTGATTATACAGCTGATATTGATAACTAGAAGAGCTGGGATTTACATCTAAGCAGTATATAAAATGCTAGACAAAGCCCACAGAAGAGCAGATATTTGGTCATAAAAAAGGAAAGTTGCTCATTGTTACTTGGTCCGAGTTCTCCTCTTTCAGCCAATACCTGGGCTCCCCTCTCTATCCTGTGGCCTCAAGCAGAGACAGATTTCTTCACAAATCTCCCAGTCAGAAGGCTAACCACATTCTTCCTTCAAGTTCCTGTGATCCCAGGAGAGAGAGTAGCCCGTACGCCACATTCTCTCTCATGTTATAAACCTTATACGTAGAATCATTCATTTCTTACTGAAAATTAAGATGCTTTTTGACACTTCTGCAGGAAAGTTCTAGTCTACTATCTTTGGGGGAAAAAATCCCACTTCTAGGAAGTGATAAATGACAAGACCAAATGATGAACTGTCTGACAGAAAACTCCAGCCATTTCCCAGTGGGGAATATCGGTCCCAGAGCACGTCTTGTGGGTGCTTTTCTCCCAGACACCTTGTGGCTCCCCCCCTCACTTCTTTCAGGGCTTTATTCAAAAGCTACTTTTTGAATAAAGCACCTTTCTCTGCTTCATTGTTTTGCTCTTTAGGAAGTATCAGTAACACCCTTTGTATCTTACCTGTTTGTCTGTTATCTGCCTTGGTGGAGCATGTAGTTTCCCTGAGAGCAGAGATTTTCCTCTGTTTTGTGTGTTACCATATTCCCAGCACCCAAAGCAGTGCCTGGCACATCATAAATGCTCAGTAATTATTTGTCACATGAATAAATAGGTCATAGTCTTCAATGTACAATCTGTAAATGTTGACTGAGATAATGGAGGCAGCCATTATCATTATAGGGTAATTGATGGGAAAATGTCTGGTAGAGTTAAATTACAAAATGTTATGAAGTAATCACCATGTTTCCCCCAAAATAAGACCTACCCATAAAATAAGCCCTAGCAGGATTTCTAAGCATTTGTGCAATATAAGCCCTACCCCGAAAATAAGGCCTAGTGGTGGGCGTGGCTGCGCAGCCTAGCTGCACGGCCCATGCGTGTCGTCGCAGAGCAGTAAAGAAGACGAGCAGCCCTTCTCATCTGCCCCTCGAGAGCTCTAGTGCTCGACATGACAGACTGGGGCCAATGGTTCTAAAGGAAATAGAGTCGCAAGAAATTCAGGATGGAATTCAGGGTTTGGAGAGTTATGATGATGTTCCAGAAGAAGACTTAAATATATTTAAATAAATGTAGATTGTTGTACCATACTTAAAAAAAATAACACATCCCCTGAAAATAAGCCCTAGGGTGTCTTCCTGAGGAAAAATAAATGTAAGACCC